AGAAGCTACTTGGTATCTAATATTGCACTGTCACTTTCCATAAATACTAATTAACCGCGTGGTTTAGTCAATTAGACAATTACATTCTCATAATAACACCGTTGTCTTCCACAATCCCCTTTTACCCTTTCTCCATGCACATATAATTGCACATCATCACTCACCCAATTCAACTATTTCATAGAAAATGCCTTTGCATATCTTTTTGCCATTGCCAGCTCAAGATTGGTCCCACGCTCCTTCCTTCATTTTCCACCCTATTACACTTAAATCATATAAACATTACTATAAATATACTAACATTATTAGGGTATTAGTTAAAGGAAAATTGCAAGTTTTCATTATTATTTTTTCCTAATGCGTTCTGTTTGGTCGGTCCATGATCTTTAATAAGTTTAAACACTTCAAGCGTAATCTCCAAGCTGGTGAGAGGAGATTAACGTTAGAACTTGAGTGAAAATTGGTAGAGGTACCTATTAGAGCACATTCTAATAACATTTAAGTTAATTGTACGTTTAATAAAGTAATAATATATAAATGTGTATATATTTCATGTTATAAGTAAATCTTTTATCTATATATATAAGATTTGGGTGTTGGTAATTCGCAATTATACGGTGTGACTCTAATGGCATATTTGATCCATTTAAGAAGTAGGTCGTTTAAAACTTTAGAAGGTTAATCATTAATTAGTTTAAAAATTTATTTAAAAATTAAAAGGTCAAAACTCAATTAAATTTATAAGATAAAAATTATAAATTTTTTATTAATATTTAAAGATAATATATAAAAATATTGTATAAAATCATTAATTTTTGTAATAATTAATAAAAAAAATATATTTATTATGTATTTTAAATGTTGGTTGATAGTATTTTTACGCTAACAATGCACAAAAATTAAACTACGTCTAGATAATTTAATTTAAATATGCTGATAGTGCAAAAATATTTTAAACTATTATCTAATCATAAATCGTCAGAATCATTAATTTTTGTAATAATTATCATAAAACTCATATTCATAATGCATTCTAATTGATTGACAATGTAATTTTTTTTTATTGATAACGTACAAAAAAATTAAATTCTATCTAGATAAATTTAATTCAAATATCATAACAATATAAAGATATTTTATAATATCGTCTACATTTGTTTTAGGCATACCCAATTTCGGTTTCGTTGTATAATACTTTTGTAATGAACATCATAGCTGTATTTATGGTCATGATAAACATACTATCTCACGCATGATTCACTTAATTGATTATCGTCAAGAATCTCGAATTAAGATGTGTATCCCTAAATAAGTGTGTTTAAATCTTTTTTCTGTTGACTTTGCATATATATATATATATATATATATATATGGTTCAAAATTTGAGTAGAAGTCACCTAAATAAATATGTCACGAAATGAAGGTTAGAGTTATTAAATGGTACTAGCATATAGTTGGTGTATATACATGAGTAAGAGTCGGCAAGCATAAATTGTTTACTTTGATTTGTACAAGCTCCCTTGTCATTATGCCAAAAAGAATGAATAAATTTATTCATATGACCCAACTAATGAATGCACAAACCTCATTTACTTTCTCTATATCTTCATATATATAGTAATACTTTTAATATTTTTCTTATATTTTTTTTATTAATTTTAGTATTCAATCATGTGATATATATATATTTATTTATCACATGATTCAAATATGAATATTTTATATTGTGAAAATGAAAATTATAAATATAAATCATTAAAATTTATTGAAATAGTAAATGTTAAAAGAAAGATATATATACAAAGTTTTTAAAGTGATGATATCACTATTACCTAATTTTTTAACAAATGTTATATATATATATATTAAAGGCTCTGGTTAACATTTGTCAACTTTTAAATACATTGGTTACCAAAATCCTATGTATGTGTATACATGTGTGTATGTTAGATAATTTTTTTTTACATTAATAAGTTAATAACAAATTATAAGATATATAAATAAGATAATCAGAAGTTTAAATAGCTAATGTTTTTTTTAATAAAATAAATAGGTTACTTAAACTTAAAGTTTACTCTTTTCCTTTTTTGAATTGGGTCTACACTCAAATTTTAGAATAGTATTAGAACTTGATCCAAAAGAAAATAAAAAATTGAAGCCTTAAAAAAATGAAAGTCCTAAAATTTAAAAGAAAAGTTAAAGTGAATTAAAAATAAAAGGCCCCAAAAAATAAACCTATGACATCTTTAAAAAAATTGTATAATCTGAAAAATCAAGTTTTGAGATATTTTATCTTTATTTTATTTTTAAAGAAAGTGAGAACCCCTCCCCCCCCCAAAAAAATAAAAAATAAAAAAATTGCATGTTAAAAGAATGCTCCTGCTCTAAAAGGAAGTGAAATATACTTAGAGGTGAGATATAACAATTAGATTTATCTTTGTAAAGTGTTGTAATATTTATCTTTCCAATTTTTAAATATTTACATTTAGTTTTTATAAATTTTTAAGTGTTCAAATTCATTTTTTTTTATCTTAAAATTAAAATTTTTATTTTATTTATCTAAATATTTTGTATATTTTTTATTTACTTATTTGTACAAATCAATAATATCACACCTATATTATATTTTATTAATTATTAAATAAAATTCTAAAGTGAAAGATTTAATTTAAACATTTAAAAATCTAGAGAGATTAAACGTGAGTGATTAAAATTAAAATGACTAAAATTATACACATATTAAAGTACAATGATTAAAAATGTAATTAAGCTATGATAATAATTAACAATAACAGTGATAAGTATAATTTTAATTCTAAAAATCTAACTTATTAGCAATTCGGTGGCAAATGAGCATTAAAGAAAATTCAACAATGATAGATATTAACGATAAAATGCTACAAATAAATACTTTCCTACAACAAACATTTTAGCATCCAATGCTTGCCAAAAGAAAAACAAAAACATCTTTAAAAATTTTCTTTGGCCATTACTTCATTGCTTTACTGCTCCCACGTTCCATAATCTGTATACAACTACTCTAATGTTAAATTAATTGGTAGAATAGCATAAACTATATTTTAGATAATATAGTTTATTTCTATGTTTAGATGCAATGCTTTTGTGGTAGCTAGGCGTAGACTTCCCGTGTAGATATTTTAAATTTCCTTAAAATCAGCGTTGAGAAAACCCAATATCTTAAATTACTATAAAAATTGAATTGCAAGTTAGTTGTTAAAAGTGAAATGTTTTGGATTCTCTTTTGTTCCTCATTTGATTAAAATGGTCAATACAAAATGTTTAGATTGTTAGCGCGTATGTTGTTTGTCAACCATTCACTGTCACCCAACTGGCCCTTGTAATTTAGTCAAACTGCGCTTCTTTTCTATACGCTCTTGCTGTCTCTATTCCCCACTTCTTGCTCCCTACCCTTTTCCTATTACTAAATTCAATTATTCTTACATTTTTCAACAATTATTATCCATTTTTATTCATTAAGTAGTTTATTAAATTATATTCTAAACACAAACTTAAGCTGCAGTTTAATTTGTCGATATTTATTCTTATTGATCTCTTTTCTCACATTTATCCATTTATCTTCATATCAATATTTTTAATTTCTAAACATTTGACTTATTTTTCCTAAGTATGTATCACATTAATTAAGAGAAACATGCGAAGTGTGATGTCTGAGCCCAGGTTTGGTGCTCGTGCTTCAAGTGGTGTCACACCACATTCCTATGGAGCCCCCCTTTTGGTAGCAAGTTAATAACAGGCGTACAATGCAGATTATACAGTACAGTTTCTATGCTGTAATATCAGCTATCTGGTCTAGTTGGAGGAACAGTATATTATAACTTTTTCCGGAAATTGTGATGAATCTCTAGATCAAATTCTTGGAAAAAAAAAAACACTACCAGTCTTTTAGGGGTGAAGTTGATGCTGCGATTCTTATTTGGTGTAATAATCCTACTTCTTGATTATACATGATGCCAAAATTTGTAAACAAGCCAAATGTGATAATAACAGTATCTGCTTTCTGTGCCTATTTTTTTTTTTTACAAAAATGTTTATCTATCTATTTAAAATTTAAGACAATATTAATTGCAAACTTTTTAATCATGTCTTTATTTTTAAATTAATTCTTAAATATTATTTAATATTTTAATATGTAAGTTATTCTCCTTAAATGTTAAAAAAGGGAGTATCCATTGAAATAGATTGACTGATAATTTGTTCAATTAAACTCAACACACACAAATCATTGGGTACTGAATCTTAATTTTTTCAATTCAATAGAATCTAACATGTCTCAATTGCTCCAGTCCTGGATCTGATACCTTAAAATGGCTCGCAAAGTGGAGTTCAATACCCAACAACACCATCTTTATCAATAATGCCGTTTTAACAATCTAAAAAAGGTAAATAAAGCCAATTCCATCGAATTACGCGGGTAAACGAAGTGATAAAAAGGGATGACATTAATCCAATAGCATGACAACAAACAAACCAAAAGGGCATTACGAAAAGGCAAAACCCCACTTAAAATAAACATCCAGGGTGGTGCTGCGCAACTTAACTAGCATCCAAAATAGCCAACACTACAATAACAGTGTAACAATTATGGAAGGGAAACAAGACAAAATTCGCAAAATAAATTAATAAACGAGACGTGTACGTTGGTTGAGGCTTAAGAGAGAGAGCACAGCAAAACAAACAAACTAACCCCCAACATAAAGCAAATTTCCAATAATTATAATAATATATAGAGAACGTATTAAAAATATACCTTTTAACACAATTTTGTAATTAATTAAAATTTATTAAAAACTATAAAAGTATAAGTGGGAATTATTAAATTAAAAGTAAGATTTATGTAATTTTTTAAATTTCATTAAATGTTTGCTAATAATAATATAAATATTTTAAATAATGTCTTATAGAATGTGTTACAAACATTTCATATATATATATATAGAAGGCCCTTCAACCCCAAAGGCGGAAATAAAGGTGCCCAACCATTTCTTTGCCTCACAAAACTCTAGTACATATATATCTTTGTTGCTTGTGTTCCCAGCCTCCATTCCTCCTCATTTTTCCTAGTAAAATGGACCCATCTGCAACAAAACCAGCTCAATCTCCCTCTTAATTCTAGCCCCTTTATTCTCTCCCTCTCATTCACCACCCCATTTCAATCATCCACCCCTTTATTCCATTTCACTAAATCGTTATCCAAATCAATCCATATATTTATATATACATATATATACACATATCCATAACTCTTTATAAGTTTATAATTATTACTATAATACATTTATATGAAGATGAGGGGGATGATGCAGCGGAGCAATGGGTTATTTTCAAGGATCATCACCCTCTTCTTGATTCCCTTGATTGTTGTTGTTGTTGATGGCTTCAATGAGGAGGGTGGCGATCACAAAATGAGGCTAGAACTAGTGCACAGGCACGATGCACGCGTTCTTGGGGAGGTTGATCAAGTAGAGGCCATAAAGGGGTTCCTCCAAAGGGACAACATTAGACGCCAAAGGATGAATCAAAGGTTGTATGGGAATGACGACAACAACAATAACCATTATGACAAAAGGAGAAAGGAGTGGGAAACATTGGAATCGCAACCCCAAATGGCTATGCATTCGGGAAGGGACTATGGACTTGGAGAGTACTTCGTGGAGGTTAAGGTTGGAACCCCGGGCCAGAGTTTTTGGCTTGCTGCTGACACGGGAAGTGAGTTCACGTGGCTTAATTGCGCGAGGGTTAATGGAAGCAAGAGTGGTGGGGTGCATAGACAGCATAGAGGAAGGGCAAGGTCGAGGAATAGGAGAAGGACAAGACCAAGGGCGAGGTCTAATAATGTTAATGATCCTTGTAATGGGGTGTTTTGTCCACACCGTTCTGCTTCTTTCGAACCTGTCACTTGTTCTTCTGAAAAGTGCAAGGTTGACCTCAGCGACTTGTTTTCTCTCACTCAGTGTCCTAAACCTTCTGATCCCTGCCTCTATGACATCAGGTTGGTCAAATTTTTCTTGCTTTTTGTTTACTTATTTATATTTTGGTTGGGGGGAGGGGTGGAGGAGAAAAAATGTTTTTTTTTTTTTAATGTTTCTTGATTTTGGCTTTTTGGTAGAAATAAATTAATGGGTTGTTCTGAAAAGATGAAAATGTTAGTGGGATGGTGTCACAAGTTTTCAGGGAAAAAAACATATATAAGGAACAGAGTTTTATATTTTGTTTGATTCTGGAAACGAGTGTTGGCAATGAATTGCATGAGGGAGGGAGAGAGAGAGAGAGAGGGGGGAAAATTAAAGGCTATCTTTTTTGGGCCTCAAATATAGTTTGTGTTTTTGTGGGCAAGGGAGATGGGCAATTAAAGCGGTTGGGAGTAGTATGTCCTTTTTGAAAGCAATATTAAGTAGTTTAGTTCCATTTTAAAAGCCAGCCAAAATTATTTGGAACATGTCTCTTCCGAAAGGGAGTCGAGTTTGAAATGGAGCATGTCTCTTTTGAAAGATACTTGAGTTTGATATAGAATTCCATTATTTATATTTAAAAAAAATGACACCGTATATTGTGTTCTATATAATTATTTTTATTTCTCATCTATCTTTTATCTTCTTTGTTTATATACACTATATAGTCTGAAAATATATCCTACTCACAAAAGAAATGTCTTTAACTGTCCCGTTAGGTGATTCAAAAAATAATTTCCTAAGTGGTGTTTTCACACTTTTGGGTATGGAATCAATTTGTGAATTGAACGTGGTGCGGGTTGTGGTTGTTTGGTTCAAGGTTCAAATGATACTGTTAGTTGCATAGTACCATTTTTTAAATTGTTTTTGCTATTTATGAAAAAAAAAAAGCTCCTTAAATTATAACTTAGCCTTATCCTATGCGCTTAAGAACTTAGATCTTTCAAAGATCCATCCTTTAAGGAGCTGGCACTTAAAAGAAACAGAACATTTCTAGTCCTGCAAAGCATTTAAAGTTCTGAAAGGAGTGCGTGTATATTAATAACAAGCATGTTTATGGCGATCATAATCAAATATCTATCTAAATGTTCTTGACTTTTTCATTTCTTAAAAAAAAAAGAAACTTCGCTAGGACTTATTAACAAAAAGGTACCCTCATACACAGACACAAGCACAAAAGGTGGCATGCTCTTGCTGGTGAACCAGCAACCATTCTTTTCAGCATCCAACCATGGTTATAAATGAGAATTAAATGTTAGTAGGTGAGCATCACATGACGCACATTTCTGCATCATGGCATGAGGGGGAACATAAGCCTCTAATCCGAAAAATAGACCATCCTTTTAACAAGTTCACCTAGAATAGAATACCCCATCTACATAGTTTTCTAACATTAATTTTTCCAATCAGAGTGAAACCCTCTTCCATTGTGACGAGTCTCCCTAGGACGCGACAATATTATTATTATTATTCTTTCTGATATTATTTATAAAAAATAATTACTAATATTTTGTATTTAAATTATAAAAGATAAATACATATGTTTAGATATATTAATTGTCAATTTTGTTTTATGTTTTATTTATATAAATGGAAAGTTTTATGATATATAAGAATTAGATATTTATTTGTTATGAATAAAATTAGAGGGCAGTATTACTTTGTGTAGAATGTTCAATTATTGACTTAGCTGATCTTATCCTTGACAGCTATGCTGATGGATCATCTGCGAAGGGGTTCTTCGGCACTGACACAATCGCACTAAGCCTCACAAATGGAAAAGAAGGAAAACTGCATAATCTAACAATTGGGTGCACACAATCCATGCAGAATGGGGTAGCCTTCACCCAAGACACAGGTGGCATATTGGGTCTAGGATATGCAAAGGACCATTTTGTTGATAAAGCAGCACTACAATATGGTGCCAAGTTCACCTATTGTTTGGTTGACCATTTGGCCCACAAAAACGTTTCTAGTTATCTAACTATTGGTGGACAACTCAAAGTCAATTTGTTAAGTGAAATCAAAAGAACAGAACTGGTTTTGCTTGCTCCATTTTATGGTGTGAATGTACTAGGCATCTCAATTGGAGACAAAATGTTGAATATCCCACCTCAGATATGGGATTTCAATGCCCAAGGAGGCGCTATAATTGACTCAGGAACAACATTGACCGCACTAGTTACTGCAGCATATGATCCAGTGTTTGATGCTTTGAGCAAATCTCTAACCAATGTCAAAAGGGTAACTGGGGATTTTGGAGTTATGGAATTTTGCTTTGAAGCTGAGGGGTTTGATGTGAGCGTGGTGCCAAGACTAGTGTTCCATTTTGCAGGGGGTTCTCGGCTTGAGCCACCAGTGAAGAGCTACATCATTGATGTGGCACCCGAAATTAAGTGCATTGGCATTGTTGCAATAAAAGGCAAAAGTGGTGCCTCTGTCATAGGCAATATTATGCAACAAGATCATCTTTGGGAATTTGACTTGGCTCAAAATACTGTGGGCTTTGCTCCTTCTGCCTGCACCTAATTGTTCTTTGTGTTAATTTCTTTTTCTTTGTTTGCCCTCTTAACTCACTCCCTCATTCTCTTGTGGACACTAACAAGTTACATTTTGTGGTTGTTTTGTTCGAATTGGATTGCCATTATTCTTTCTAAAATCTTCTATTATCTTCCCCCTCCTTTCAAATGCATTGTATAATATTACGTGTAAACATGGATCATACATTAATGTAAGTTATTGTGATGTTAATTATACGTGGCTGTGCCGTAGATATTCTCTAAAGGCATAAATTCTTGCATTCACACTATCCTCTCTCTCTCTCTCTCATTTTACTATTGTGCAAACAAATCAAGACAAAAAAATTCCAATCTATTGCGGTTAAGGCAATTTGTTTAGGAGTTTAATAAATTAGAAATTATATTTTGTGTGAAAAAATATGGTTGGATGGTGTGTATTTTTTGAAAAATTAATTTTCTCACCTATCAGGTACGTTGATATTTTAAGAAAATATATTTTATGAATATTGAACTAATGTTTTCTTTTCCATTTTTTTTTCTTATTTATGCTACATAAGCATTAATCTTGTGTAAATAAAATCTCATCACTTCTATAAATATTTATTTTTAAAAATGATTTTTTAACTCATGTTCAATTATACATAATAACTCAATAATACATAAAAAGATTTAATATATAATAATTTTTTATTAAAAATTATAAAATATTACATAATTTACTCTTTATTGATTTTTCATTATGTGACCTTAAACAAACATTAAATTCTTTCTTTAAATACTTATGTTAACCTCCTTCATGTTAGTACGAGGATTATTTAATAACATTTTCTAATGTCCTCCTTTTTATTAGTTAAGTTTTGTTAAAATTTATAACTATAATTAAGAATCATTAAATTAAGAGAGATAAACACTTTTATATTATTCAATAGAAAAACGTATTAAAGAATGTGTAATAAACATTATACTTGTTCCTTTCATTAAAAAATTAATTTAATCACACTAGTAGTGTAAATTTTTACATAACCACTAATTTATATAATAATTAATATAAATATTACATCCATTATACGTCATAATATTAATGGGTTAATAGAGTAAAAATCTTTAACGCTTAAAATTAAAATACATCAAAATGAAATTATTAAAAAATTACATCTACTTTTATTTCTTTACATAGTAAGAATTATTCTGATATGCTTACACTTGCTATTTTAAAAATTATATATACTTGTAATTTACATATGAACTTAATACAAAATATCATTAAAAGTAGAAAAAGATACAAGGGATATCCGTGTAGTTTTCTCAATTGAAAAAAATCATAAACAATATTTAGAGTTATTCTCAAAGAAATTAAGGCGAAGTAATTAAACAAGATAAAGATAAAAAGAGATTGCAGCCTAAAGAGTGAAATTAGTTTGCTGAAATAAACTATGCCTGCCTGGTGCCCAACAAGCTTTGAACAATAGAGAGAGATGCATGTCACAATCAAATGCTATTATATGGTTTGCGTCTATCAATAAAGATAACTTGCGTCCACATCATATATAATTATGTCATGACAAAATATACGTTTTTTGTTTTGTTTTGTTCTTTTCTATTTTTGCTCAAAGCAAAGCAAAGCAAAGCAAAGCAAAGCAAAGTGTATATCTTAATAAAAGCATATTTTTCCTTACAATATATCAAATCATTTTTCAGCTTAATTTCTATTAGATGATTTCATCAACTGAAATAACAGAAACCCCCTTTATCTACAATTTTCTATCGATAAGAATACTTGGCACAAAAATGGACAACAGCAAATCACATCTATAACGAAAAGAGTAAATTTATATATCAAGTGCATAAGAGATAAGTTTTGGGTCAAAATCACTTGATATATATAATATATAGCTAGGTTGCAAATGTATAGAATCTTATTACACGTACATATATGTTTGTAGACTCATAACATATATGAGTGGGATGAAATTTCTTATCAACAACACGGGTAGCTTGTTGAATAGAAGAGATTGAGACATTAGAATGTTCATGAATTGGCAACAAAAGGAAGCATACATATGAATCAAAGTTTGCCACTCCAATCATTGACGTGTACCGTTTACTCCTATCATAAGAAGACAAATGGATTATTGATGCTAATTAAATTGTCATGCAACATTAACAAAATCAATTGAATAAAGTGAAGACGTGATTAATTAACACGTACCATTCATTTTAAGATCATGCATGACACCTAAGGCAATATAGATATATACTTGCATTATTCACACTATTGTATGATTGAAATATCCTTCTCATACCCAATCAATCGTTAATAAGACAAATTATCCGTAGTAGTTATATAACAGTTTGGAGTTGTGCTATATGTGACAATAAAGCATATGAAATTTAATCTTTCTTCTAACTTTTCCTTTTTCTTGAAGAAGAAATGAAACCTAATCATCACATGCAATGTTTGGAAGCTGTGGAATAATGCCACTAGATCACCTAATAAGATAAAGATGGGCTTCAACTAATATAGCCCGTTTCTTGTTAAATATTGAATAAACTATTATATTAATTTATGAGATTATATGAATTGAATATTTTAATTTTTTATCTTTAATTCTCTTATAGTGTTTGATTTTATAAAATAATATTTAATATAAATAAAAATAAATTAATAATTTTTACAAAATTACAAGTTTAATAAAAGTACGATTTATGCAATTTCAAGAATTAATTTAAAAATTTACTCATTCAAAATGCTTATATGGACCAAATAGATTATTTCTTTTAAGTGTTTGCAATTAATACTATTTAGATATTTATGAATCAAAATTTATTTTTCTTAACGCTGCCAAAGCTAGATTGTATTAGATTCATATGAACACAAACCGAAATTAACGTACGGCAGAATAAAACTTTTAGTGAAATTTGAAATTTAATTATTTTTTCTTGTTTGTTGGTTAAATTATGAACTAAACTATCGGGAAATTGTTTGTGAAGAATCTACATATGTACTGTTTATAATATAAATATATTTTTCTAAATAAGATTCAATTTTTACAGTTATTATCTTTTTTCCTTTTTTGAGGTATGACTCTTCATTTTAAAATTTTTAGATTTTTATAGACCAATTTATTAGTAAATAGAAACGGCAAAAAATTATTTGTAAAATTAAAAATAAACACTGTCGGGTTAAAATAAAAAAAATAAGAAATAAATAAAGACGAGTAATTTAACTAAAAGGACCATCTAAACGAATGAAAATATAATATTTTTTTTTATAACTAACGATTATTTTTTTAAAAGTATAATAACCCAAACTTAAATAGGCAAATGCAATAAAATTTAAAATCTTATTTAAACTTATAATATAATTAACTATAGAATTTGGTAATGACACCAATAAATTAATAATTGATTCATTCAGTGAGATAATGTACTTTCACGATGTTAAAAACGATTTTCTTTACAACGTTTCTTTTTATCATTTTACAATACATTCAGGTGCTATATATATATATATATATATATATATATATATATATATACATATATATATATATATATACATATATATATATATATATATGTATATATATATATATATTATAGCTTTAGTATGATGACAAACCTACTAAAGCATCTAATTAAAAAACAATAAGGAAATATGTTTTAAAGGGACCTAACAGAGAACAAAGACACAAACAATAATAAGCTTAAGCAGTGCCACCTATTGTATAAGCAGTGTTTTTTATTGTTTCTACGATCAACTATGGTATTTATCCTTTTTCACTTTCACATTAATGAAAACGACAAGAAGAACGACTTCAAAACGTGTTATTGTTTGAGGCAAGGTTTGTGTCTACTCATAGAGGGAAAAGGAAAAGATTAAAAGTAATAAGTCTTTATAGTGCTTGGACATAAAAGGGGTAATTCATCAATCTAGTTTCTTGATTTATTATAGTCCTTTGCCAATTTAGTTTTTAAGATCATATAATTTTTTTAAAATTTTTTGAATAAGTTATTTTAGTTTCTAAAATTATAGTGATTCATCAATTTAGTCTTTGAAATTATAAAGAAAGAATTTTAAATCTCTAAAATTATAAAAAAAAATCAATTACTTTAGCTATTAAATGAAACTGTGTAATCAATATAATTTTTTTTATTTTTATAATCAATCAATATATTATTTAATCACTCAAGACTAGAAATATAACCCTTCCTTATTATTTTTAATTTTTTCATGAAAATATCATTTCATCATAAAAAATTTCTTTATCATAATATCACTGACTAATTAATTTAATAGATACATATAATTTTATGGGTATCATAATGAATTTTAAGAAGTAAATTAAATGGTGTTTATAATTTAAAAAAATAAGTTAAATGACGCCTATAATGTTAAGATCTAAAATATTTTTTTAATATAATTTTTTTTAATTATTTTTTTTAATAATTTTAAGTACTAAATTGAGAAATATATATAATTCCAGAAACTAAATTTACAGATAACTATAATCTCCGGAAGTAAACTAATTGATTTCATAATTTTAAAAGTTAATGTGACTGATTTCATAATTTCAAAGTTAAAATAATTAAATTCTAATAATTTTAAGTATTCAATTAATAAATACTTATAATGTTAGCTCGAAATAAAAGTATTATAACAGTGTATAACGTTTTAAAGCAGTTTTATTATGAGTGCTATAAATCAAAATCGTTTTCATAGATTCTATCACACAAGCATTTTATAATCAAATTTTAGTTTTTAAACTTTTTCATGTCAAAATTTGATGCGCTTGATTGTTAAAGCGCCTAATAGTTTTATTTTTTAAAGCGCTAATTTTTTCAAATGTTGTAAAAACATTTTGTCTGTTTTAAAAGTGTTTTATAAATAAAATGCTTCAATTTTTGTGCTCTAACATAGATTTTTTGACATAATAATTTGAAATATTAAAAATACTTACAATTGTTATATGTTTTTAATGTGCAATATTATATATAATTAGAATTTAT